GTCCAACACCATTTTCTGATAAAAACACTCAGCAAAGTTAGAATAGAAGGATCGTACCTCAACATAATAAAAGCTTTATATGACAAACCTACAGCCAACATCATACTCAATGGGCAAAATCTAAAACTATTTCCCTTAAGAACAGGAACAAGACAGGGATGCCCACTCTCACCACTCCTGTTCGACATAGTACTGGAAGTATTAGCTATTGCGATTAGACAAGAAGAAGAAATAAAAGGCATACAAATTGGAAAAGAAGAAGTAAAACTGTCCTTATTCACAGATGACATGATATTATACATAAAAAACCCTAAACAATCCATCAAAAAACTATTAGACTTAATAAATGAATTTGGCAATGTGGCAGGGTATAAAATTAACGCCAAGAAATCTATTGCATTTCTATACACCAATAGTGAACTTACAGAAAGAGAGACCAAAAAAACAATCCCATTTACCATCGCACCAAAAAAATTAAGCTACCTAGGAATAAACTTAACTAAAGAGGTAAAAGACCTCTACTCAGAAAATTACAGGACGTTGAAAAATGAGATAGAGGAAGACATAAATAGATGGAAGAACATACCGTGTTCATGGATTGGTAGAATCAACATCATTAAAATGTCCATACTACCCAAAGAAATTTATAAATTCAATGCACTGCCCATTAAAATACCAACGGCATATTTCACAGACCTAGAACGAACTCTCTAAAAATTCATCTGGAATAAAAAAAGACCCCAAATAGCTGCAGCAATCCTGAGAAAGAAGAACAAAGTAGGTGGGATCTCAATGCCAGATATCAAGCTGTATTACAAAGCCACTGTTCTCAAAACTGCTTGGTACTGGCACAAGAACAGACATATAGATCAATTGAATAGAATAGAGAACCCAGAAATCCACCCAAGCACTATGTTAAATTAATATTTGACAAATAGGCAAGAACATACAATGGAGTCAAGACAGTCTCTTCAATAAATGGTGTTGGGAAAATTGGACAGGTACATGCAAAAAAATAAAACTAGACCACCAACTTACACCATACACAAAAATAAACTCAAAATGGATAAAAGACTTAAGTGTAAGACAGGAAATTATAAAAATATTAGAGGAATCCAAAGCAACAAAATCTCAGACATATGCTGAGCAATTTCTTCACAGATACAGCTCTTAGGACATTAGAAACTAAAGAGAAAATAATCAAATGGGGCTACATCAAAATAAAAAGCTTTTGTACAGCAAAAAAATAAACAAAACAAAAAGAAAACACAAAAAAATCAATAAAACAACAAGAAAGCCCACTGCATGGGAGAACATATTTGCCAATGTTATTAACCATAAGGGTTTAATCTCCAACCTTTACAGGGAACTCATACAAATTACCAAAAGGAAGATAAACAGCCCAATCAAAAAATGGGCAACAAACCTATATAGATACTTTTCGAAAGAAGACATAAGGAAGGCCAAGAGACATGTGAAAGCATGCTCAAAGTCACTAATCATCTGAGAGATGCAAATCAAAATGACAATGCAATATCATCTCACACCTGTCAGAAGGCTATCTTCAACAAATTAGCAAAGGACACGTGCTAGCGAGGATGTGGAGAAAAAGGAACCCTTGTACACTGCTGGTGGGAATGCAAACTGGTACAGCCACTTTGGAGAACAGTGTGGAGTTTCCTCAAAAAACTAAAAATGGAACTCCCATTTGACCCAGTGATCCCACTTCTAGGAATATATCCCAAGAAACTAGAAACACCAATCAGAAAAGATATATGCACCCCTAAGATCATAGCAGCACAATTTCCAATAGCTAAGATTTGGAATAAGCCTAAGTGCCCATTGGTAGATGAGTAGATTAAAAATCTTTTCTACATCTACACAATGGAATACTATGCTGCTGTAAAAAGGAAGAAACTCATACCATTTGCAACAGCATGGATGGAGCTGGAGATCATTATGCTAAGTGAAATAAGTCAGTCAGAAATAGATAAATATCACATGATCTCACTCATTTGTGGATTATAATGAATAACATAAATCGATGAAGAAAAACATATCCAGAGACAGAAACATTGATCAGATCTTCAAACCTCAGAGGGAAGGTAGAGAAGCGTGGGGGTAAGAGGGGAAGATCAACCAAGAGACTTATATGCATGCATGTAAGCATAACCAATGGATGCACACAACAGAGGGAGGGGGTGAGGGCAGGATTAGGCAGGTGGGGGACAATGGAGGGATAACCACACATTTATAATACCTTAATCAGTAATAAAAAAACGACAGTGAGATATTACCTCACACCTGTCAGAATGGCTATCACAGAAAAAATCAACAAACAGCAAGTGCTGGTAAGGACGTGGAGAAAAGGGAACACAAGTTCACTGCTGGTGGGAATGCAAATTGGTATAGCCACTATGGAAAATAGTATGGATTTTCCTCAAAAAATTCAAAAAGGAAATTCTGTTTGACCTAGTGATCTTATTTCTGGGAATATATCCTAAAACCCCCAAAAAACCAATCAGGAAGAATCTATGTACCCCCATGTTTAAAGCACCATTATTTACAACTAGAGGCCCATTGCAGAAAGATTCCTGCAAGAATAGGGCTTCCTGTGGCTGGATCAAAGCAGAGAAGGGAGTGAAACCCGCTGAGGCGGGCTTTTCCCACTCCCAGCTGCTCTGGCTGGGTTTCCCCTCCCGCCTCCCATCTCCACAGCCTTGGCTCTGTTCCTGTTTCCGCTGCCTCTACTTTGCTCCTTTCTGTAGCACTTCGCTTCCATGTTGTCTTCAGTCTTCCCTCCCAGCCGGTGTATGCAAATTAACCGCCATCTTGGTTGGGGTAATTTGCATATAGCCACTCTGATTGGCTGGTGGGCTTGGCTTAAGGTGTAGCAAAGTTTTGGTCAATTTGCATGTTTGTCTTTTATTAGTGTAGACTAGAGGCCCGGT